TGTAGTGATGCCACAATTCTAAAACTTTGTACTAAAAGAGTTTAAAACCTGTTAAATCCGAAAAATATAGTTTTTTATATGTCAAAACAAGGAAATGTAGCTTATTTTAAGATCCATAAAATACACTTTATAACGCCGAGAAAAAGGGGCATTGACAATTATAGCTATAAAAAAAATCTGTCTGATATAAAAAAAATTTAATTTCGATTTTCTTAAAAATAAGATCAACACCTACTTTTTGAACCAATTTTGTTTCGGCCTTATATTTACTTGAGGAATTATTGATGCTTGATATAGACACAAAACTTTTTAATATTTTTTTAATTAGACACTTAATATAACCCCAGCTTTTACCAATCAATAAAGCAGAAACTAAAAATTTAGTGACTTTATTATCTTTTTCATTTTCATATAATATTTGCAACAAAATTTACACGTATATAAATTTTTTTTTTAAATACTAAACTTTAGTGATTTTATATATACTTTACATTCACATTATTTACAAGTTGGTTGACAAAACATAATAGACTCATAAATATAAAAATCTCTACTTCCTTAGGAAAATAATATTTTTTAACTCCTCTTTGGCTAAATAGTAGCAAAGTCCGGTTTTTGTTATCGGTACCTCAACTTTGCAAATAATGTGGACATCAGGAATCCAGCATTGGTTTTCCTTTGGTGGCCATTTAAACAACCGTGCAGGACCATTAGGACACATAAATTTTACAAGCACATCTTTTTCTTCTAAAATAATATCTTCAATGACTCCTATCCACAACTTTTGCTCATAGGAAAGACAGGCATAATCACCTGGTACTAGGTTTACAGTTGTTATCTGGATATTTCCAAAGTCGTGAATTAAATCAAATTCTTCATCAACACTGCATAGCTTAGTTCTTACCTAAACAAAATAGTAACATATGCAACTATTCTGTTTTACTTATCAAACATGTTTTATTAAATGCATAGATAGCAAATGCAGAGGAAATAAAATAAAATACAAATAATTTTGATAATGATTCTGCAATAATCTAATATCTATTTGAGTTTATCAATAAAAGTAATGCGTGTATTTCAAAATACGGTAAAAGGTATAATTAAAAAATAATAATTTACCTTTTGATGGCCAAGTGGTACAAACTGATGGTAACTACGTGTTCCAGGTATTGTATTAGCAGTATCCAATCGTTCTTTAAGAGCGGTTCTCACCAAAGTTGAATCTTCCGATGAAGTATATATGAAATGTATGCCTTCAATGTTTTCATTGCAAAACGTATACATTGTTTGTGGAGATAAAATATGATTACCCATATCTCTTTGCAAACTTGCTAGTGTTGCCAGACGTTTGACTGTACCACCTATCCCATCACAAGGTTGCTTACCGTGACTAGTTGCAAAAAAGTTCCATCTAGGAGTAAAACCAAAATCTTCACATTGGAAACAAAGATTTAACATATTTTTGCAATTCTTATGTTGACTGCACGCCCATCTGAAAAGTATTCAATATTTTTTATTTGAGGCAAATATGTTTTTATATCATTGCAAACAACCTCAATAATTTTATAAACCATGTTCACATTATGGATCATATCATCCGAAATAATACGAAAGAATTTGTGCTTCAGAATGCCTTTTTTTTGAAATAAATAATCACTGGATGAAGTGCACATTGTATATTTGTCCAATGAATGCTTTGCACTTCATCCTGAACTACAAATTTATAGTTTTCTGAAAAATCACCCAGAAATAATGCTGTTACCTCACTCATATCTTCCTTTCTTGATCTCAAGTATAATGCTTGACTCTTTGCTAAATACGAATGTGGTGCAGGTTTTTCCAGTTTTCTACATACTAATTCAATGATTCAAACAATGTCTCTTTATTATTTGTCAGGTTTGACCTATCTGTTGCAGGGCATTTTTTACGTTTCCTCATCATACAGTCTTTATTAGTTCTATCACAGACAATATAAGGTAACAATTCTTTGTATGTCACATCAAGAGGATGTAAAAGCAGTTTCAAATTCTGATGAATAGCACAGTGCATACAGTATGTGTTCCTGAGGCACCAACAGTAATACACAATTTAGGTCGCAAGGTGCAAAACCTTGAAAATAATATTTTTATTTCTGGGTTTTTGGTTTTAAAGGCAACAAACAATTCCTTTAAATTACATAAGAGCAAACGTTTTTTCATGTGGACATTTTTCTTTATGCTTACATAGTCCTTTTTACCAGGCACTGTACGGCTATGTTCATCGTCTTCGTAAAAGGTCTTGACCAGTTGAACTGTAACATCAGGAAGAGCTTTTCCTAGTTTAGGATTAGGCATGGTTAAAATACCCTTTTCTAATGTTAACTTACGTGCAGTTCGAGCTACATAGTTTGTTACATGCAATATTTCAAATACCTTTTTTATTGACCAATCTGTTGGAGCAAGTGTCGCAAGTTTTAATTTTTTTGATATTGATGTAGACTCTGCGCTTTTGTTTATTAACAATACCATCATGTTATCAAACAAGTTTTCTTTTTCCATTTACTCATTATTAAAACTTGACTGTTCCTCAAAACTTTCTTCTGATATATTAAGGGAAATGGTTACCTTTTTCTTAGTGGAGGTTGTTAATGCTGTCAATTTTCGTTTACCTTCTCTGATTTTACCTGACTTGTGCAATCCTTTGACCTTAATTGCAGATACTCCGGCAGATGCAAATTGTGTATCTACACTTTCTTTTTATTTTGAATGGATCTTTCATTAATAATATCAAAATCTTCATCATTTTTAATTTCACTTATACTTTTTGATAAACATGTCATAACTTTACTTCGACAGGTTGGACACAGTTTTTTTCCAGGTATAAGATTTAAACCTATGGTTTCTGCTTTTAACACAGTATACACTGTAATCACACGTAGAGATGCTTAAAAAGAAAGTAATTACATTACTTAAATATCATTAATTATATATATTATGTAATTATATTGCTATAGAATTTTTTGTATAAATAACTATGAAACATTAAACAAATCTTATTACCAAAAAAACTTATATGACTTATTAATAATGATATTACTTAATGAAATATAAACATATATATATATATATATATATATATATATATATATATATATATATATATATATATATATATTATATATATATATATATATATATTTGCCTCTACACACCTTTTGGTGACTCAGAAATTGATTACAGCAACTTTTCTGATTACCCTCATATCTTACAACTAACATATCATGATGGTGTGTGCATATATTAGTAATTTGTTTTTGTTTCAGATTTGTTCGTTTTTCAAGTAGCTTACAATCATTGCTGTCAATATCTTCAATCAGATTTCTTTCTTAAGTATAGGATTGTTTATAATAAGCTCCATAAGTATTTACAAAGCAGCAATTAATTTTGTTATCCATATAAAAATATAATGAGGAATCTCTGTCTAAACACTTAATACAAGAAACCTTAAATAATCTTAATGTCCCTAACAAGAAAAGTACACTTGAACACAAACAATATCATATCAATATGTATTTATAAAAAACATATTTATTGAACAAGTAGCTATTAGTTTAATAGACATTTTTTTAATATCTAACTATCTACTAATTATTGAAAATTCTCCATTAACTTACAAAAAGTTGTGAAAAAATAAAAGATAACTAAATATAATTTTATTTAGTTATGTAACTTATCATGGTAATATTAATTAGACATTATTATATCGTTTTATTACTTTTTTTAGTGATGATAATAAATGTTTTATTACAACAAAACAATCAGCAACAAAAGTTACATAATATTGTTAAATTTAATGACATGATATTATGTAATGAAAATGACATTATTATTATGTAATGAAAGTAAAAAGAAACAAATTTATAAAATGTTCAACTATGTTTTGTAATAACTTTGTAAATTTTTTACAAAGCTATTACAAAACAAAAATATTTGTATTTGTATTCAAAATATGTTTGCAAATTTTTTTTTTTTTGCAAAATATCTTTAGAAAAATTGAAAAACTAAAACATCAATAACTCCTTGATAAAACATAAGGCCAAATAAAAATTAGTTCGCAAAGTAGATATATGTTTAATATTTAAAATAACAAGAACCAAAACTTTTTTTCATAAGTCAGATTTTTTCTAGAACTATAGTTGTCAATGGCCTTTTTTATTGTCATTAACAAGTGCGTTTTGTGGATCTAAAAATAAACTTTATTTTATAGTTTTGAGAGATGTAAATTTATGATTTTCAGATTTAGCAGGTTTTAAACTCCTTTGGTACCAAGTTTTAGCTTCGCAACATTACTACAAGTTTGTTAAAAGGGTAATGGTAAATTGACATATTTTCGGCTTTATCCCCCTCTTTTTTCAGTCAAAAAATAACTAACTTCAAGTTGCTGTAAATCTCAAAGGGTTGAGATTTTTTTGAAAAATTTTTACAGTCTTTCCTAACTTATATCTTTAAAAATTTGTGCCAAATTTCAGCAAATTTGGTGGTACAGGGTGCAATCCCTTGTTTTTTGAGAAATTTTTACCCAAAAGAAATCCAGAAAACAAAGTTTTTATAAAAGATTTACTTACTATTAGTTAAATTCAAACTTTTTCCAAAATAAATGTTTTGTTCACTTTTTAAATGAGCCCTAGGAGGCCTCTTACTCACTTTATCTTTAACCTTCATTTTTTTATGTAAAACTATTTGAAGACTTTGTGTTAAAAATAATTATAATTGTGTCAAAGAAAAAGCTAAAATATTTATCATATGCATATAATTATAGCCTGATGTATTTCAAATAATGAGGTTTTATAAGCTAATGTTGCAACCGTTAGGAAATGTTAGTTTTTCATGAAACCATAATTATATTTCAATATTATATGTGGAAATTAAAATAACATTGGTTTTAAAAAACATTTGTTTTTTAAAACCTTTGTTATCCGAATAAAACTAAAATGAGTTCTTTTTTTAAAATACTAAACATAATACAATGCGAGAGATGATTTTTTTTTTTTTATTAAAAAAATACATATTCAAAGTAGGAAAAAAGTCTTTGTAACAATTTAAAATTTGTACCCAACTGTCTTTTTTCTTAAGGCGTCTTTTTTCAAACTTTTTTTCGGTTCTAAAAAGAAATAGCATAAAAATGGTAACGAAATGAAGAAAGTATTCATTATAAAACGATGCAATAGTTCTAAAATATAGATTTATAAAACAAAATTAAAACAGTAAAATGCAATGCCGTAATAATGTAACTGTAAAAAAATGCAGTGTAAATAAAGTATTTTTAGTTTCTTTAGACAAATAAAATTAATATGACTATTTGAATTATTATCACTATTAAAAGAAAAATAAATAAATAAATACACCCTAAGCTTCATAGGAACCAAAAACTACTACGAATACTAAGTAAGGTTTGTAATGTTGCCAAATTTTAATTTACCGGCAATATTGATTATTTGTTTAAGATTAAATATTCAATATTGAATATTTAATGGTAAACAAATTTATCTAATTATGTTTTAAATTGTTATTAAAATACCTACCATAGTGTAGACGAACAAAAATTGCAGAAGTAACAAAAAATTTCGTGCAAAAGCTTTTAGATACCAAGTAATAAAAGCTTTTATATACCGAGTGATAAAACTTGAAACAATAATGAGGAAAACTCACCATCATTCCCGTAAATCCAGGTATTCCAGACATCGAAGTTTTTGATTAAGCCATGCTGGGCTTCATACCATGGATCTCCAGCGTATACGTCGATATTTGTAAATACTCGTGCGTTATAGTTTTGTACTTCATATACTTTATTGTGATTAATAAATATTTTAAAATAAGCTCTCCCTGATTCAACAGTTTGCTCTATTTTAACATTTATCCACTCGTCTAGGAAAAGTGGTTTAGATTTAAATGTTTCATGACCTTTTAATGCAAAAGCAACGTGTAACCTTTTATTAAAAATCCAAACGCCAGGAATTCGATCACCGTACATTAAATCATTTCCTCCCATTGTCAAATGAATGACACTTCTATATCCATCTGAAAAACTGTCAAGTTTTAAATCAAAACGAACATAAAATGCTTTTTCTAAAGTTGACAAACTCGCAACCAAGTTGTTTCTCTTCAGTCTCACGATGTCATATTCTGAATTGTCCACATAGTCTAATAAAGAAAAAAAAACATATTTTAATGATTTTAAGCATTTAATACAGAAAAAAAATATTTTCACATTAAAAATAAAATTTATTTTCTAAAGTTTAGTTAAATTTAATAAACCTTACAATGAGTCCATAGAGCTTTCGCAAATGATTCACCTAAAATACCGAGTAAAATATGGAGTCTATTTAAATTCAGTTAAACAATTAATTAAAAGTAAAATTGTGAAAGATAAAATCTGTTATACTATTAAAGAAGTTAAAATAAATATGCAAATAAAAATAAATAGTGTATTTAAATGTTTTATAATGTACTTTTTGTACTATCAGAATATAATTCGAAAAAGCAGACTTTGTTACGGCTGATTTAGGTGCATTACATACAAACCGTAAAATCTAAGATACAAAAAAAGTAATACCTAGCTCCCCATTTTCAATAATTAGATTTTTTATTGATCCATCATGAGATGGATACCAAGGATCTGAAGCAAAAACTTTGACATTGTTAAAATTTTGGGGTTTGTTGTTCCTTTCAGTAAACACATTTGTTCCATTTAGATCGATTGTGAAAACATATTTGCTATTATTACGTTGTTGACTAATAACAACGTTTGTCCACTCATTGAGTGGAAGTGCATCGGTATATATTCCTCTGTTAGGATTTCCATTTATAGATGTAGCAATGTAAAAGCCTTCAGAATTATATTTATCCTCGTAAAACGAAAGTGCTGGAGTACTATTTCTATATCTACTGAAATCATTACCAACAACGAAATGAATAACATTATGAAAACCATATGAGTATGAATTCGGTTTTAAATCAAACGAAATTTTGTATGACTTAGCCAATACAGGAAATGCAGCTAGTAACCCCTCTTTTTGTAAATTTTTTTCGTCAGGACCTATCAGCTTATCTGAAAAACACACAAAAAAGTATTCTTAAAAAGTAAAAACTATAAAACAAACTGAAACGATATCAATAAAACTTACAAACAAAAAAAATATGCTTATTATCTTGTAAAGTAAAATACTGAATTTCTTACAGCCACGTTAGAATTATTAATAATCTCCACATTTTTGAGTTTTGAGACAAAACGATATAAAAAAAACAAAAAAAAACTTTAGGAGACGGCAAATGCTTGCCGAATAAACTTAAGTTATAAAAATATTTTTATAACTCATGTTTATTAGGCAATTTTCGTACCTATAACTTAGCTTTCAATACCGTAAATAAAGATTATTATGAAGTACATAACATTACCAATAACTCAGTTTTTTCAAAAGGTGGAGATAAAACAAGATATATCTAAGGTCGCGAGATGTTATTTATTTGTTGTATTTTTTTTTACTATAATTTCCAATTGGTAAAAGTGGCTTCTAATAAACTTTATTAATACATACATGTCAAGGAGTCCTTTTAGGGTCCTAAAAAAACTAGGAACAAGAAAAACTTTAGATTTTAAACCCATAAAACCCATAAGTTAAATATTCATAAAAGTTATCAAATTTTTTTTTTTTTTTTTTTTTTCGTTCTTAAATCCTTTAGATTCTATAGGGCCTTTTTGCTAGGGCATTGTTATGTGTTTTTTTTTTTAATGATTAAATTTGGAAATATTTATGCGTGTGGTTAGTTATCTTTAAAATGAGCTCGAATAAAGTTACATACCTAAACCATGTGTCACTACAAACAGCAAAACAACGCCAATTATCACTTTCTAAGAAAAAAACGTTAACCATAAATTAAGTTTGTTATTTTAAAACTTATTTTGAAAATCTAGTAAAAACTCATTACATAAAAATTTGAATCTTTTAATACCATTTTTTTTTCTTCCTGCTTTCTGTTTCGCAATGGCTCGTTTTCGTTCAACAAATCTGCATAGACTGATGAAATGGCGCGTCTTTATATATAGAACAAGGTTACTGATGTGTGACGAAATGATATTCTTTAGACAATGAATTTTTAAATTCAATTTCTAATCATTATCCTGTATTTCTTTATTTTAAAAACATTTTATTAATCCTTTGAATTAAATTCATAAACCGTAAAATCACATTTGCATAGATTTTTGCAATTTAATTAAGTAAGCTAAGCCCTTTCATGAAACCGTGTCATTATTAAAAAGTTATTTTAATTTTAATAGACGCACCTTTTATTTTTATTAGCGGTACCTTTTGGTTTTAATAGACCCCACCTTTTAGTTTTAATAGAACGAACCCGGCCATTCAAACTTAGGTGTTTTTTCATCAGAGATGAAAACCTATTTACTTTTTATTTTCCTTTTATTTTCTCAGCATTGCCTATATCATGTTGAAAGTTTTATAATACGTACATAACTTATTGTAATATACGTAAGCTGAGACTAAATATAAAATATTGTAATTAATAACATAGCATTCAAATTATGTTTGCTGATTCAATAGTTAAATCATTTATAATAATATTAAAAGATATTATAACAAATGCTTATGTTGTGCAAAAGTAAATGCAATAGAAAATCTGAGCATATTCATTTTATTATATCTAAAAAACTATCAAAAGACAATAAAAAACTAAATAGGTTATCTTTTAAATTATCTTTATTAAAAATCTATATATCATCTATACTAAATAACACATCATAAATCTACTGCAAAGCAATTCGATATCAATCTTTTTTTCGACATACATATACATATGTATATGTCTATGTATATATATGTATATATATATATATATATATATATATATATATATATATATATATATATATATATATATATATATATATATATATATATATATATATATATATATATATATATATATATATATATATATATATATTTACATATATATACATAGATATATATATACAGAGTATATATATATACATATATATACATATACATATACATATATATACATAGATATATATATACATAGTATATGTATATACATATATATACATAGTATATATATATATATATATATATATATATATATATATATATATATATATATATATATATATATATATATATATATACATATATATACATAGACATATACATATGTATATGTATGTCGAAAAAAAGATTGATATCGAATTGCTTTGCAGTAGATTTATGATGTGTTATTTAGTATAGATGATATATAGATTTTTAATAAAGATAATTTAAAAGATAACCTATTTAGTTTTTTATTGTCTTTTGATAGTTTTTTAGATATAATAAAATGAATATGCTCAGATTTTCTATTGCATTTACTTTTGCACAACATAAGCATTTGTTATAATATCTTTTAATATTATTATAAATGATTTAACTATTGAATCAGCAAACATAATTTGAATGCTATGTTATTAATTACAATATTTTATATTTAGTCTCAGCTTACGTATATTACAATAAGTTATGTACGTATTATAAAACTTTCAACATGATATAGGCAATGCTGAGAAAATAAAAGGAAAATAAAAAGTAAATAGGTTTTCATCTCTGATGAAAAAACACCTAAGTTTGAATGGCCGGGTTCGTTCTATTAAAACTAAAAGGTGGGGTCTATTAAAACCAAAAGGTACCGCTAATAAAAATAAAAGGTGCGTCTATTAAAATTAAAATAACTTTTTAATAATGACACGGTTTCATGAAAGGGCTTAGCTTACTTAATTAAATTGCAAAAATCTATGCAAATGTGATTTTACGGTTTATGAATTTAATTCAAAGGATTAATAAAATGTTTTTAAAATAAAGAAATACAGGATAATGATTAGAAATTGAATTTAAAAATTCATTGTCTAAAGAATATCATTTCGTCACACATCAGTAACCTTGTTCTATATATAAAGACGCGCCATTTCATCAGTCTATGCAGATTTGTTGAACGAAAACGAGCCATTGCGAAACAGAAAGCAGGAAGAAAAAAAAATGGTATTAAAAGATTCAAATTTTTATGTAATGAGTTTTTACTAGATTTTCAAAATAAGTTTTAAAATAACAAACTTAATTTATGGTTAACGTTTTTTTCTTAGAAAGTGATAATTGGCGTTGTTTTGCTGTTTGTAGTGACACATGGTTTAGGTATGTAACTTTATTCGAGCTCATTTTAAAGATAACTAACCACACGCATAAATATTTCCAAATTTAATCATTAAAAAAAAAAACACATAACAATGCCCTAGCAAAAAGGCCCTATAGAATCTAAAGGATTTAAGAACGAAAAAAAAAAAAAAAAAAAAAATTTGATAACTTTTATGAATATTTAACTTATGGGTTTTATGGGTTTAAAATCTAAAGTTTTTCTTGTTCCTAGTTTTTTTAGGACCCTAAAAGGACTCCTTGACATGTATGTATTAATAAAGTTTATTAGAAGCCACTTTTACCAATTGGAAATTATAGTAAAAAAAAATACAACAAATAAATAACATCTCGCGACCTTAGATATATCTTGTTTTATCTCCACCTTTTGAAAAAACTGAGTTATTGGTAATGTTATGTACTTCATAATAATCTTTATTTACGGTATTGAAAGCTAAGTTATAGGTACGAAAATTGCCTAATAAACATGAGTTATAAAAATATTTTTATAACTTAAGTTTATTCGGCAAGCATTTGCCGTCTCCTAAAGTTTTTTTTTGTTTTTTTTATATCGTTTTGTCTCAAAACTCAAAAATGTGGAGATTATTAATAATTCTAACGTGGCTGTAAGAAATTCAGTATTTTACTTTACAAGATAATAAGCATATTTTTTTTGTTTGTAAGTTTTATTGATATCGTTTCAGTTTGTTTTATAGTTTTTACTTTTTAAGAATACTTTTTTGTGTGTTTTTCAGATAAGCTGATAGGTCCTGACGAAAAAAATTTACAAAAAGAGGGGTTACTAGCTGCATTTCCTGTATTGGCTAAGTCATACAAAATTTCGTTTGATTTAAAACCGAATTCATACTCATATGGTTTTCATAATGTTATTCATTTCGTTGTTGGTAATGATTTCAGTAGATATAGAAATAGTACTCCAGCACTTTCGTTTTACGAGGATAAATATAATTCTGAAGGCTTTTACATTGCTACATCTATAAATGGAAATCCTAACAGAGGAATATATACCGATGCACTTCCACTCAATGAGTGGACAAACGTTGTTATTAGTCAACAACGTAATAATAGCAAATATGTTTTCACAATCGATCTAAATGGAACAAATGTGTTTACTGAAAGGAACAACAAACCCCAAAATTTTAACAATGTCAAAGTTTTTGCTTCAGATCCTTGGTATCCATCTCATGATGGATCAATAAAAAATCTAATTATTGAAAATGGGGAGCTAGGTATTACTTTTTTTGTATCTTAGATTTTACGGTTTGTATGTAATGCACCTAAATCAGCCGTAACAAAGTCTGCTTTTTCGAATTATATTCTGATAGTACAAAAAGTACATTATAAAACATTTAAATACACTATTTATTTTTATTTGCATATTTATTTTAACTTCTTTAATAGTATAACAGATTTTATCTTTCACAATTTTACTTTTAATTAATTGTTTAACTGAATTTAAATAGACTCCATATTTTACTCGGTATTTTAGGTGAATCATTTGCGAAAGCTCTATGGACTCATTGTAAGGTTTATTAAATTTAACTAAACTTTAGAAAATAAATTTTATTTTTAATGTGAAAATATTTTTTTTCTGTATTAAATGCTTAAAATCATTAAAATATGTTTTTTTTTCTTTATTAGACTATGTGGACAATTCAGAATATGACATCGTGAGACTGAAGAGAAACAACTTGGTTGCGAGTTTGTCAACTTTAGAAAAAGCATTTTATGTTCGTTTTGATTTAAAACTTGACAGTTTTTCAGATGGATATAGAAGTGTCATTCATTTGACAATGGGAGGAAATGATTTAATGTACGGTGATCGAATTCCTGGCGTTTGGATTTTTAATAAAAGGTTACACGTTGCTTTTGCATTAAAAGGTCATGAAACATTTAAATCTAAACCACTTTTCCTAGACGAGTGGATAAATGTTAAAATAGAGCAAACTGTTGAATCAGGGAGAGCTTATTTTAAAATATTTATTAATCACAATAAAGTATATGAAGTACAAAACTATAACGCACGAGTATTTACAAATATCGACGTATACGCTGGAGATCCATGGTATGAAGCCCAGCATGGCTTAATCAAAAACTTCGATGTCTGGAATACCTGGATTTACGGGAATGATGGTGAGTTTTCCTCATTATTGTTTCAAGTTTTATCACTCGGTATATAAAAGCTTTTATTACTTGGTATCTAAAAGCTTTTGCACGAAATTTTTTGTTACTTCTGCAATTTTTGTTCGTCTACACTATGGTAGGTATTTTAATAACAATTTAAAACATAATTAGATAAATTTGTTTACCATTAAATATTCAATATTGAATATTTAATCTTAAACAAATAATCAATATTGCCGGTAAATTAAAATTTGGCAACATTACAAACCTTACTTAGTATTCGTAGTAGTTTTTGGTTCCTATGAAGCTTAGGGTGTATTTATTTATTTATTTTTCTTTTAATAGTGATAATAATTCAAATAGTCATATTAATTTTATTTGTCTAAAGAAACTAAAAATACTTTATTTACACTGCATTTTTTTACAGTTACATTATTACGGCATTGCATTTTACTGTTTTAATTTTGTTTTATAAATCTATATTTTAGAACTATTGCATCGTTTTATAATGAATACTTTCTTCATTTCGTTACCATTTTTATGCTATTTCTTTTTAGAACCGAAAAAAAGTTTGAAAAAAGACGCCTTAAGAAAAAAGACAGTTGGGTACAAATTTTAAATTGTTACAAAGACTTTTTTCCTACTTTGAATATGTATTTTTTTAATAAAAAAAAAAAAATCATCTCTCGCATTGTATTATGTTTAGTATTTTAAAAAAAG